TCTGAGGGCTTGTGTCTGACCTTTAGGTAAATGTCAGGGTCATCAGGAGTCTTAGCTAAGTCCTATGGGAAGGGTGGCTCTTTGTAGCGAGTCATTTCCAGGAATACAAAAGGGGGGAAGGATTTCTTAACTAACCTTCTTTTTCAAGAGCAAAGGTCTTGGGTCAAGTCCAACACTGTCAATGGCTGCATCACAGGCTAGGCTCCAAGAGGCCCCAACATACCATGTCATGCACTGCTGTGCAAAAAAAGGAACATTTGTGTTAGCAGAGTGGGCAGGGCTGTCCCATGTGGGCCCTGGGGTTACCAGTGACTTCTTCTGCCCCGACCCCGGTTCTATCCATTTGGAAGCGGACCTGAGCTCCTTGTGAGCTGGAGAACACTGAAAATCTGAAGGATTCTTTCAGTTCTGCAGCCTACATTCTATACCTGTATCAGCTCAGAGTACAGTGATCTCATTTCAGAAGTTCAACTATCTCTTCTCACTGCTTTCAGGAAATAACGCTTTACCTGGCTATAAAAAATACTGCATGTGTGTCACTGAAACCTGTTTATGAGCTTTGGCCACTGTATTTTTCTTCCTGGTTATTGTAGGATATAGAAAGTTTTATTTAGAAAACCTAAATAAGGACCAGGAAAAAGACTAATTATAATAAAGTAAAAATCAAAATCAACAAGCAACTATAAACCAGAGACACACTACAGGGGGGGAGCGGGAGTAGGATCAAAACAAGGAGGGTGGGAATTGTGTGGGGACAATAACAAAGATGAAAATGCATACATTGTGCTAAAATGAAAAATGATGTAAAAATATATATAAAATAAGAAAGTTTTGTTGTTACTGTTCTTATAGTTATTGTTGTATCTCTACATTTTGACAGTCTCCTGTCATGCTCACCAGCCTAAGTCTCCAGGAACATACCCAGAGTTAAACAAACTGGGTTTATTGCTCAATGAAATGAGGAAAATGCACTGCAAGTGTACCCCCTGGTGTCTCAGTAAGTAAGAGGGGGTTGCAAAGGTCTTACAGGACTGGAGCCTGAGTGATTTGGGGGCAGACTCAGGGAAACAGGGATTTACTCTGGATTAGATGCTGTTTGGAAACAGACAGTTCTGCGATCAGGTTTCTGAATGGGTCCTCTCTAGAAGCGGGAGGAAAGAAATTCAGTGAAGAAGCAGCTTCACTGCTTTAGTTTGGTTGGGGCTGTTGGGTCACTTTTGCGTTTTATAGTCTTCATGCTTTTGCCTAGATTCAGACATGGTGGTGAAAAGATTTAGGTTTCATTTTGATCCATCAGGGTTATGGAGTGGTGTTGACTGATGTGGGTGTTCTGATAATGCGTCTCTGTTCAGTGGGAAGCTACCAGGACCTGGCTGTAGCCCTTGGCCTGGACTGTTCAGCTTTCTCATGCTTGCTGAATGGAGTTGTAAGGGTTCTCCAGAAAAACAGAACCAAGAGGATATACAGATATTTGTTTAGATAAGAGGAGATTTATCACAGGGATGGTTCATGTGATCATGGAGGCTGAGAAGTCATGCAGTCTGCTGTATTTAAGCTGGAGAGCCAGGAAAAACAGTGGTGTAATTCAGTCCCAGAGTACAAAGGCCTGAGAATTAGGAGCTCCGTGTCCAACGATAGGAAAAGATGGACATTCCTTCTCAAGAAAAGAGAAAGAATTTGCTCTGCCTTTGCCTTTTAGTTCTATTCTGGTTGCCAAGGAATTGGATGATGCCCACCCACATTGGTGAGGACCGATCTCGTAGTCTCCTGAATCAAATGCCAGTCTCTTCCAGGACCCTCACAGACACATCCAGACATAATATTTTACCAGCTTCTTGGACATCCCTTAGCCCAACCAAGTTAACACATAAAATCAACCATTGTTGTGAACTCTTATTAGTTTGTAATTGATTCTTTTGGACTTTTCTAAATAAACATTCATATTGTCCTTCTAAATTATGGTAAAAGGCCTCTCTTCCTTTCCTTTCTACCTCTTTTTGGCCTGCTAAAAGTTGTTGTCTTGGTTTATTCCGAATGACTCTAATTTTATCAAGTACTGTTTTCTATCAAATACAATCATGTGTCTTTTACTTTTTTGTTCTACTGATCTGTTCTATTTTTAAAATCTTTCTACTTGCAGAATCCCAATGCTGGATTATTCCTAAATGTTTACATTTGAAGTACCAGCATTTCATTCAGAATGGTTATGTCTATTCACATACAAGATTGGCATCTAACTTTTGTGCTATCATCTTGGTTGTGTTTTGGCATCAAAGTTGTTAGTTTCACAAAAAGATTTGGGAGACTCACAACTCTTTCATGTGCCTGGAAACAAGCTATGCAATAGAAAAGCTATTGTTCCTTTAGAGTAACACTAACCATTGTTACCAGAACCCAGCTGCTTCAGCGGTGGGAGCCTGCAGGAGCAGTGGTGTCCTTTCACAAGTCAGTTGTGACAGCTGCTCCTCAGAGACCTTTTAGGTAACAATGTACTTCCTGGATCATGTAATGGACCAATCAGGTGCAAGCTTGGTTTTGGTGGTGTTGTGGTTTTTTTAAAGATATTTTTTATTTATTTATACAAGAGGCAGCTGTCTTTCTGCCCACCTGTGACTATGCAGGTGCTTCCTTTCACCAACTCTCTCCCTCTGCAGGGCAGCAGCCTCCTGACTGCCCATGACCTGTGTCTGTCTGGACTTCTCCTTACTGACCTCCCTCAGCAGAAACAGCTCTCCTCAAGGCCACATGCCTGCAACCATACAGGCCTCTCTTAGCAAACCTGTCCCTTTTGGGGCAGCTCTTTCTGCCCGCTTGTGTCTGCAAGTATCTTTTACTCTTCTGTCTCTTTTTCTAATAAACCTGACCTTTAAATAAAAATAAAATAAATAAAATAAAATAAAAAATAAGTGCTGGGATAGAGGCCAGAGGCACGGAAGGGTGAAAGGATTCACCAGAGACAGAGTGAGGAACAGAACAGACAGGCGGACCAGGCACTGCTGAGCGTAGCAGCTGGCGAGACAGGAGAGGTCTGCCGTACCATGTGGGAATCTCCCTGGCCGGCCGGGAACAGGACCTGCACTGCAGAGGTTGGGGACAGCTTCACAGTGCTGCGTTCAACCTGCTCCACCACCGGGGAGGGAGACCCTGGTTTTGGTTTTTGCTATAGCGCTTGGTTTTGGTTTCTGGTCCTTTGGCCTTTTGGGGATTTTTGGTGGCTCTCTTGCCAGAGTCTGGGCAGGTGTGCGGCCTTCCATCCTTCCATCGGCCTTGTTGTCTTGTAGCCTGTGCCCTGTACGCCCCTGTTTCAGTTAGGCCCAGTCTCTGACAGAGTCTTTCAAGGCTTCTCTTCCCTCCTCAGAGGTTGGCTGCTGGATGCTTCTTTTCTTCTTTTTCTTCAGAGTCCAGGAACAGAGCCTTCCCCTTCTTTCTCCTTCCTTCAGAGGCTGGAACTGTCTTCTTTCTTTCTTTGGGGGCTGGCATTGTCTCTCCCATTCCTCTCCCTCTTCTTCTCCGGGGGCTGGTGTCATCTCTCCCCTCAGCTCCCTCTGACCCTGACTTATATTCTCTTTCAGGATGCCCCACCCACAAGTCTGATTGGACCATTTTTCAATCCTGTGGCTGATTGGACCATTTAGCACCAATCGGCTCATAGCTCCCACCTGATTAGTCCATTCCATAATCCAGGAAGTACATTGTTACATAAAAGGTCTCTGAGGAGCAACTGCCACAACTGACAAAAGGGCAGTCCCTGGACTCTGATGAGCAGCTGCCACAACTGACTTGGGTGGAGCAGCAGGGTCCAAGAACACCACTGCTCCTGCTGGCCCCCTATGCTGAAGCACAAAATTTTTTGCAAATGATGGAAATGTTTACATCAGTGCTGTCTCCATGCAATCACTAACCACATGAGATTATTGAAGTCTTGAAAAGTGGTCAACTGAGAAACTGAATTTTAAATTCTATTTAATTTAAATTGCTACATGTGACTTGTCACTATATGGGACAGTACTCTAAGGAGTTTGAATGAAGTCACTTGTGAAATGATATGTGTCTGACCCCTCTCTTCATGTAGTTCTCTGGCGGCTATTCCCATTTTTCCCATGGCTGTTATTTCTGGCTTTTCTATTCTGTGAAATAATACTAGTTATTGAAAATTACTATTAGTCTTAGGAAAAATCTCATCTGAATTTTTAAACTCTTCCATTTAGCGTTGTATTTCATTTTCCTTATTATGGTTTTAGTCTCATCCATATCATTCATATGTTATTAATGTTAAATATTTGCATCCTCTTCAGTTAAGCTTGTGGGAGGTTTCCCTCCCCCTAATTTTTTTTAAAGATTTATTTTATTCATACAAGAACCCAGGCACAGGCTAGATACACGGGAGGGTGAGAGGATTCACCAGAGACAGAGCGGGGAACAGAACAGGCGGACTGATGAAACACACTGCTGAGGGGAGTAGTGGGTGAGACAGGAGAGGACAGGAGAGGTCTGGTCACCACATGGGTTGCTCCAAGGTGGCTGGGGATCGAACCAGCACTGCAGAGGCTGTGGACAGCTTCACAGTACTGCGCTCAACTGCCTGCACCACCAGGGAGGCCCCCATCTCCCAAATTTTATTTCAAATTCAAATGCCTAAGTTGCTAGGCAAATAACCATTTGAGTGTGAGACCCTCCACAGGTCTGCTTTACTCTGTTCCTATTGCAGACCAGTCCCTACAATTGTCTTCTACATCCCACCCCACCAACCTCCTGGAGAACCTCACCTCCTTTTCAAACTATATTCCCAACCTTTCTCCCTCCCCCATTGAATTCTTCCATTCTCATTTTTGCATGTTCTAATCCCTTGGATTTTCTTTCTTCAGTCTTTCCCATGTCTAGCTGTCTTCCCCATACTTGCCCTCCCCTCTTCCTTGAAATCTGAAGTGAGCCCCATCCATCTCTAGCATTTCTAAGGTTCTAGCTCAAAGTGTAAGTTCACCATAGAGACGGAGTTACCAACAATAGAAAATTCCGTGTCCATGACAACCAGAAAACCCAAGGCAATGACTGATTTTAACCATCTGGTTCTAACCTTGTTCTTTAAATTCCTCTTTCCCCCAAGGGCTTACTGCTTTATGTAAAGGGAAGACACATGCTACACATACAGGCAAGCAGGAAGATATCCATGCTATCTTCGGGAGGAATGAGATTAGTATCTGTGTGTGATAGAGATGGGACAACTTCCTGCTAAAGAAACCGGAAAGTCTTCCTGCAGTCCTCACTTGAGCTCAGTCTTCAGGATGGTGAGTGAATTTTGTTGGGGGTGGTCATGCAGGTAGGCATTCTGGGGAGAATATTACCAGCAGGCAAAATTGCATTGGAAAGAGAAAAGCACAATCATACAACAATGGTGGATTTACACTGGATTTGCAAAGGGGGATGGGGGAAATAAGAATAAATGATACACCCCTTGATGGCACAAAAGGTCTTTTGTGCCACACATAAAACAGTGATGGTCCCAAACCAGCTGATGATTTCCATTGAAAGTATCAGATAGAAAAGTCATATTGGTTTCTAAGCATAGAGATAACTACAGAAAGGAAACCAAGACTACAAAAGTTCTTATTGCCTTTTCACCATCCCTCACTCTCTTACTTTCCAAGCATAAAACTTGTGAGTCACCATTTAATCACTTCTTTGCATATACCTCAACTCTCTGCCCCTCTCTCACTTGGCAAAACCTCAACCCTGGTTATTCTAAGTCACACCAGCTGATTAACATTTCAATGAAAGAAGGAAAAAGAGGGCCTCCCTGGGGGTGCAGGGGTTAAAGTCTCAGCACTATCAGCTACCACCGGCCACTGCAGCATGAGTTGGATCCCTGGCCAGGGAGCTACCCAAATGGTACAGAAGAACTCTCCAGTCTCACCCACTGCTCCCCTCAGCAGTGTATTTCAGTAGATCTGCCAATTCTGCTCCCCACTCTGTCTCTGGCGAATCCTCTCACCCACTCCTTGCACCTCTGGCCTACAACCTAGTTCTTTATGCATAAATAAATTTAAAAAATAAATCTTTTTTAAAAAAAGAAGGAACAAAACAGTCCATGACTGAAAAAACTGGGACTAGGGCACAGCACCAGCTCAAGGAGCATGCACACAAAGTGCTTCAGCCTCAGAGTAAACAATTAGTCATTTGTTCAAGCAACTTTAAGAAAAAACAAACACCAAGTTCCAACATATACAGAGTTTGGAAGTCATGATATCTATCTGTACAAGAAAAAGCTGCGCAAATTAAACATAATTGACTCTTCTTGGAACCATCAAAGAATTGAGGTCACAGAGCAAACCACTATTTCAAATTCTAGAGAGGACAGATGCATCCAGAAATACAGCTTACACAATTTGTTTACTTAAAGTGGAAGCCATTAGAATCAGTAAGTTGGCAGGAGCACTTAAATCATTATTTTGATGTGGTGCAGGAACCTGAGTATAGACTTGTGTGCTAGACCTTCTGGTGGGGGTCTACAGTGATGGGGGGACAAAATTATATGGAATGTTACTCCAGGAACCCCACCAGTTTCCCACAAGGATAACCTGAGAAATATTTCCTCTGGTTGGGAAAAGGAAAAATAGGCATCCTCAAGCCCATCTAGACTCTTCTCCTTAACAAAGATCTAGTCTCTAGAAGAACAAAAATTACAGCAGACTTCTCATCAGAAACCATGCAATCAGAAGAAAGTGGAGTGAAATCTTTAAAATGTTAAAAAGAAATTCTAGAATTTTATATTCTAAGAAATTCTCCTTCAAAAGTGAATGAGAAATGAATATACTTTCTCAGGCAACCAAAACTGGGGAATTCATTGCAACAAGAAGTGATAAAGTAGTTCTTTAAGAACTAGATGTAAGACCTGAAACCATAAAATACATAGAAGGAAATATAGGTGAAACACTACATGATATGCACATCAAAGACATCTTTACAGACACATCACCCAAAGCAGTGATAGTGAAGGCAAAGATAAACAGCTGGGACTACATCAAATTAAAGAGCTTCTGCACAGCAAAAGAGACAATAACAAAAACAAAGAGAAACCCCACCAACTGGGAGAACATTTTTGCACACAACACTAATGATAAAGGACTGATCACAAAAATCTACAAAGAGCTGATGAGACTCAACAAAAACAAAGAAAATAATCCAGTCAAAAAATGGACAGAAGAGCTAAAAAGAAACTTCTCTGAAGAGGAAATGCAAATGGCCAACAGGCATATGAAAAAATGTTCAACATCACTTGTCATCAGGGAAATGCAAATCAAAACTACCATGAGATACCATCTTACACCAGTGAGAATGGCACATATTAAAAAAACTAGCAACAACAAATGTTGGCGAGGATGTGGAGAAAAAGGAACTCTTCTGCACTGTTGGTGGGAGTGCAGACTGGTCCAACCACTATGGAGAGCTGTGTGGAGATTTCTTGACCTACCAAACATAGAGCTTCCATAGGATCCAGCAATTCCACTCCTAGGTATTTACCCAAAGGACACAGAAACATCAATTCCAAAGAGCACCTGCACCCCTATGTTTACAGCAGTACTATTTACAATAGCTAAGCTTTGGAAACAACCCAAATGCCCAAAAATAGATGACTGGATTAAGAAGATGTGGTACATATACACCATGGAATATTACTCAGCATTCAAAAAAGATAAACACATGCAATTTGCAGCAACATGGATGGCACTGGAAGGGATCATGCTCAGCGAAATAAGCCAGAAAGAAAAAGAAAAATACTGGATGGTCTCACTCATAGCAGGAATCTAGAAAACTTAAATAAGGGATCAGGAAAAGCATAACTATAAGAAAGAAAATGTCAAAATCAACAAACAACTATGAACCAGAGACACTCTATGGGGGGTGTGGGGTGGGGAAAGGAGGGCTTGGGGTCAAAATAATTGTATGGAGAATATAAAAATAAAATTTAAATAAAAAATAAAATAAAAATAAAAAGGTGTCATAAAATAAAAAAAGTAGTTCTTTAAGCAAAAAGAAAATAATTTAGGTCAGAAGCTTAAATCTACAATAATAACAGAAAAGCATCAGAGAAAGATAAAATATTTTATTTTTTCATTACTAGCTGTTCTAAAAGAAAATGTTTAAAACAATACTACTAGCAATGTATTGCGTGCTTGTAGTATATGGGTAAGTGAAATGAACAACCTCAGTGTTACAAAGGATGGAAGGGAAGAATTGGAATTACTATTATGAGGTGTCTGTTCTTCTGAAGTGGTATAATTTTATTTAAAGGTGGACTTAGATTATTTAAATGTAAATTGAAAACCACTGAAAAGATTTTAGTAGTATAAACGATCTTCTAGGATAGGAGTTAAAATGAAATCATATAAAATATTCAAACAAGAGAATACAGAAGAGAGGTGGGAGAAAAAAAGTAAATGAAAACAAAAAGTTATGGGCCTCCCCTGGTGGCGCAGGCGGTTGAGCACAGTGCTGTGAAGCTGTCCGCAGCCTCTGCAGCACCGGTTCCATCCCCGCCGGCCAGCAAGGCTCCCACATGGCGAGCGGACTTCACCTGTCTCGGCTCGCTGCACCCCTCAGCAACATATTTCCGTCAGTCTGCCTGTTCTGTTCCCTGCTCTGTCTCTGGTGAATCCTCTCACCCTCCCGTGAATCTGGCTTGTGCCCAGGTTCTTGTCTGAATAAATGAAATAAATCTTTAAAAAAAAAAAACAAAAAATTATGAAAATCATAGATTTTAATCTAACTGTACCTGTAATCATTTTAAATATGAATAATCTAAATATACCAGTTAAAAGATTATCAGATTGGATTAAAAAATAATAAGACCCAACTATATTCTAGAAACACACTGTAAGTATAAAAACATAGGCAAAAAGTAAAGGGATGTATCTGCATTAGAACACATATATAAATCAATGGAATAAAACGGAGAGTCCATAAATTCTCACATTTATGGTCAAGCAATTTTTAGCAAGAATGTAAGACAATTTAGTGGAGAAGGTGAAATAAATGGTGCTTGAGTGACTAGATACACACACACTATCGAATGGTTTTGAACCCTTATATAATACATAAAAACTAACTGAAAATGGACCATAAGCCTCAATTCAAGAGCTAAGTTTATAAAATTTCTAGGAAAAAAATATATAGAAGAAATCTTTGTGACATTGGGTTCGGCACTAGTTGTCTAGATAGGACATCAAATTTGGAGAACTCACATTACCCAATTTTGGACTTTCTATAATATTACTATAATGTGCAGTATAAAATTGGAGAAAAATAGAAACATTAGTCAATGGAACACAAAGAGCACAGACCCTCACCCCCCGACTTGCACGGCCTGCAGGAGTCCCATGAAAATGAACTAAACTGGGCCTCCCCGGTGGCGCAGCGGTTGAGCGCTGGGTTGCGAAGCTGCCTGCGGCCTCTGCAGCGCCGGTTCGATCCCCGGCTGCTCCCCGGCCACCGGAGGAGGGTCCCACATGGCGCGCAGACCTCTCCTGCCGCCCGCTGCTCCCCTCAGCAGTGTCCTTCGGTCCTTCTGCCTGCTCTGCTCCCCACTCTGGTTCTGGTGAATTCTCTCACCCTCCAGCGCTTCTGACTGTACCCAGTGCATGTATAAACAAAACAAACAAATAAATTAATAAAGCATGCCTCTATAAAAAAAAAAAAAAAGAAAATGAACTAAACTTAGAGCTGAATCAGTGTTGAGAGGGATGGACGTTAGGAGACAGGAAGAAGCAAAGGAACTTAAGAGACACCTCACCTCCGGGGAGGTCAGGACTGGAATAGGTTCAAAAGAAGCTCCTGAGTATCGGAGAAAGCAGTGTTCCTTATGGGTATATGGCTGTGCTTAGAAAACCTCTCACTCAGCCCCTAGAGGTACCACATACCCTGGGAGAGAATCAGGTTGTAAAACCAAAAGGCCAAGGCCCCAAGGCCCTAGCCTCGAAGTGCTCCGGGCAGGCTGGCTGATGAAACCTGAAGAACAGAATCTCCAGGAGTTTGGCAGCTCCACTGGAGCCCCACTGCGGTGGGGTTGGTGACAAGAAGAGACATTTCCAGCGGCCCAGAGAATGGAGCAGCAGTGACAGAAAGGCAGGTGAAAGGGCAGCTCAGAGAAAGCAGATGCCACCAGCAGGGAGAAGAAGAGGTGCTGAACTCTGGGAAACGACATTTTCAGTCCATATCAGCAGCTCTGTAACAGGCTGGTCCCAGCAGATCTGTCCTCGGAATCCACTCATCCCCCAGGAGGCAGATGGGA